CCCCAAAACCCCAAAACCCCAAAACCCCAATAGTAAATATTTGCAAGAAAAATTAGAAATTAAATGTTAAATGATTAAATCACTTCATCTTAGAGAGAGTATTTTTAGCATCGTTTAGCATCTTAGCTTCTATTACTATCTGTTCTTTTTCTATTCTTTCTATTATAGCTGCTAAGTTCTCCTTGACCTTCTCGGCTAGAGCTTGCTGAAGCATTGACTCGAGTTCCTTGCAGTATTTAAGCCAAGAGAGATACTTCTCTCCCTTTACTATGACTTCTTCTCTGACTAGATTTTCTCTAGCTTCCTCTATAGCCTTAGAAAGAGCAGCTAGATCAATCTTCTCCATTGCAATCAAATCTTGAAGATTCTTGTCCTTTTCTTTTCTCTGGGATATCATTTCTCTGTACTTGTTTCTTTCAGCCATCACGGACGACATTTTTTCCTTATACTTGTTTCGCTCTGCCTCAATGTCTCCCTTGAATACAGCCTCTCTGAATTTCTCTCTCTGGTCCTTTTATTGCTCTCGCTTTAGCTATTCCTATTCAATGTCTTGCAATGCAAGCTCTCTTTCCTTTTATCTCTGCTCAGCCATACCTTTCTTTTCATGCTCAGATCTCTATCTTGCTTGGGTAGACTTGTCACAGGATATGTGAATTAGTCTATCACTCTTGTAATGTTGCAAGAAAGTTCTAATTTCATTGTTAACATGTTAATCAGGCTCGGGAAGAGGTCTCCTATTTTTCTCTTCAACTTCTTCACCTCCATTGTTAGCAGCAGCACCTGGCTTCTTCTATTCTTACTTAGCTGGTGCTCCTTTGGCTGGTGGAGCTCCTTTTGCTGGGGCACCTTTACCACCCTTGACTGGCTGCTCTGGTTCATCCTTCTTTCTAATTCTTTCTCTTACTTCAGAGGCAATCGCTCTTTGTTCCTCAGTCAATTGTTCTCCATTTGCAAGCATCTGTTGGTAAAGGAACTTGAGTCTTGATCTTTTAGCCTTTTCAGCTCTGCCAGGCTCAGCAGTTTCCCAAGAAGCCTTCAAAGCTCTTTCTTTGTCCTCTTTATCAGTATCTTTTACAATAGCCAATGTTTCAGAGGAGTAAATCTTGAGATGCCAAGTTATATCAGCTGAGATTTGATTCTCAGTTTTGCAATCAGGCCACTCATGCAGGTCGAATAAAGCTTGGATGACATAGGAGTGCTTAGTTTCATCATCTGGGTTCTCAGATGATTCGGGCAATTGATGGTTAGATCTAAACATGAAATGCGAGATCGTAACTTAATTATAGCCTTCTTTTTGGTAAATGACGTGGCCGTGATCAAGTACTTACACTTTGAAAAGTCTTTGCATGCCTTCTATCTTATCAAACTCTCTTCCCTCCTTCTTTAGTTTTATATTTACAGCACCTGATGTGTGATCTGGCCCAACATATACCTTCTCCTTGAAGATGATTCCGTACTTACTGGGGAAGTACTTGTCAGAGTACTCTAATGGTTCGACATGTTAAATCTCCTCTAGCTAGAAATTGTCCTTATTTGTTAGCACCTCAAGTTATAATTAACCCTCGGTAGTGTTATATGGCATCACACCCTCGATTATGATGGAATAGCCCTTACCGTTATTAGGATTAAATACCATATTTTCTAGTTTCATCTAGTTAAGCAGCAATTCTTTTTCCGTTTGTGTTGGATATTTTTTGTTATTATCATTTTTATCTATGATTTTCATACGCATGTATTTTAGCAAGAACTTATCATTAGGGACATCTACTTTCAAATGCATAGTCAAGTCACTGTCATTGACATTGAAGTCAAATTTACCAAAAAGTTAATATTTTCCCTTCTCAATTGGCAGGAATTCAGATTAATAAGACTTAAGGAAAAACTACTTTTGATGGATTAGATAGTCTGATTTAGGAAGGATAGAAATTTTCCTAACAAGTCCAGCTGCCCAAATAGTAAATCCTTATGGAGCAATTATGTTAGGCTTTAACCAGATGCAATTAGACTCCTGATTAAGGCCATTAACAGTCAACAACTTTCCTTCTAGGTAGGACTTGAAGATCATATCAATTGGTTTGTCTTCTTAAGCTAATTCTTGATTCTACTTTCCTCTGGCAGATGCTAGAGATTACTACCCAGCACTACCTCCTGCATCAAGCTAAGTCAGTCTCATTAGATATCTGGGAAGAACTTGTGTTGGCTCTTTGCTTGGATGAGGAGCAAACGCTAGTAGTATCTAGTCTATATTCTATGGCTAAGGAATAATTTCTCCAGGCAAAAGTTAATACTCTAATTTTGAAAGGCCATCAATGCGGCTCTCCTCTCCTCCTATTGTGGGTTCTATAAAAGCAGAGTTATTGTGACTTTGCTTGCTTATATCTAGAGATTATGCTTGAGATTGATGCTAGTGGACAGATTTTAAAGCCTCTTCATCTAATTCAAGTTTGATGACTATATCTTTTTCATTGCTAATATATGGTTGAGTTGGATCTTGCCATTTATCACTGAAAGTTTAGATGTTACTATACTTGTTAATGTTGTGATAGACTATCATATGCTAGAAACTGAAAGGGAAATCACTAGCAAGAAGCCAGACACCACCAGCTGCTCTGGTTTTTGGTTCCACCATTTGTCTTTTCTCTTCTTCCTATCTGTGATCATCTCCTTATTTTGTTTCGTTGGCGTTTGCATTCTGGTCTAGAGCCTATACATTAAGCTAGAAGCCACCGTGATGCTTGTGTTGATGTTGAGTTTTAGCTGTTATTGGTGAATCTGCTCTCTCTATTTCAGGGGGTCTTCTCATTCTGTTAAGTAGGCATTTCTTACCTTCATGGATTTCATCATTAGTGAAGGTGCTCATATAGTTCATAACTGGATAGTGACCGACTGATGTCTTGATCTTGACCAGACTAAATTGCTTAGGAGGTTCTCTTTCCCTTCTTTCCTTCTCTTCTTGCTCTCTCTTCTTTTCCTCTCTTCTCTTTTTCTTCCATTCTTCCTTGGATAGTCCCTTTTCTCTTCTCTTTTTGGCAGGAGAGATGAATGGACTCTTGACTTCCTCAATTTCATCGTTTTTCTTGACAATCGAATCCATATCAACGAATTAGTTCTCGAAGATGTCCATCAAAGCATAGCCAAAACCAGTTATGACATTGGAAGAGGTGCTACTCTTGTTGGTAATGTTCAGTTTTCTGCCAGTGGTAACTGAGATAGCCATTGTAGCAGCATCTCTAAGTCTGTTTAGCATTCTACCTGAAGAGGTAACAGACACTCCAGATGATGGTTCAGATTCTACTTCGATTGATGAACCTTTATCAGCTAATGAGTTAGAATGAGCTGGTTGATTTGGACCGAAATCAATCTTCTTCAGAGTAGTGGTCTATGATGGCAACTTTGGCCTGAATTCATTGTCACAATAGCAAGTTACATAAGTCTTTTTGTTGAAGTAGTGGTCATCTGAGAGAACTTTTCTGAATAATTCTAGTCCTTCCTTTTCAAAATCCTTGATAGCAACTGGCTCTGGAATAAGACCTGTCAAAGAGTAGACGATGGATCCATCACCAACTTCTTAGTCAAAGTATGCTTGTGGTGTAAACCACTTGTAAGAGTAGACCTTCAGTAAAGCTTTGAGTAAAAGTTAAGGCCAAATTTCAAAGTTGTTAATTGATCTAGGGAACATTAATTTTTTCTTAGAATCACAAGGCATTCTGTCATCAATTTCAACTAGTCTTTCTTTACCCATGAATCTTATCTTAATTTAGTACTTTCCTGTAGGAGAGATCACAGGTATGCCATTTTCTTAAGGATATATTCTTTGCCAAATAGGCTCTCTAGATTCGCAGTCTCTGATGCTTCTGTCCTTAATGAACTGAAGTTGCGAAGTCACCCATTTAGAGTAAATAGGCATGAGGAATCCCATATCCATAGTATTTTCAACTGGTACCTTTATCATCTATGGTTCATCTAAGGGATCGTTTTAGGCTGGAGCACCTTTAGCAGGTGGTTTCTTTTTGGCATTCTTATCAGCAGCTGCTAATTTCTCAGCTTCGTCCTTTCTCTTTTTTACCTCTTCTTCAGTTTCAAGTCTTTGATCATAAGTTATGCAAATCATATCGAACTGTAACTCGTCTCTATTGACTATGCCTTCTTTCTTGTCATCGCCACCTAACTTGCTGTTTAGCTGATTCAAGTTTTCCTCCAGATTGTTGACATTTCCTATAGACAGAATGCTCTGCTTTCTGATCGTCTTCTTCCTCTTAATTTGCTATTTCTTTTCCTGTCTTCTCTTGGCCATTTCACTGTCGTAGGCTATTTCTCTCAGGTACTCCTCTGGTCTTAACCACATGATCTCACCCTTCTCGTATTCCTTGTAACTAGGAGGTAGATAAATAGGAGTGTGATCTTCAAATTTCTGATAACTGCCATCATCATGCTTTTAAAATCCAGCTGTGAAGTCGTGATTCTTGGCATCTTCGTTGGAAACCCACTCTGGGAAGTTTTGATATGGCTCGTAGGCGTATGTCCTCAAAACATCTGGATCCCCCTCACATTTAATCTAACCGCCCTCTCTTGGTGGTTTAGTATTAGGGGGAAGTATATCTTTCATAAGTTTTCCAGCTTTGTAGTTTCCAACTGGAGCTCCTTTCTTTGGATCTTTTCCCTTAGGAGGCATCTTTCTTATACAATTTAAATAAAAATTTATATTTATCTATTTTAATTTGAACTCATTTTTGATAATTAAAATATTCCATTTGATCTTGACTCGGGGTTTTGGGGTTTTGGGGTTTTGGGG